CTGGGTTACTTCGGAGGAGGCGGGGGAGGGGTGCGGGGCCGCAGCGGAGCTCCGGGGTCCTCCGCTCAGCAAGAGGGGAGCCAGGTGGCTTCCCAGCCCCGCCCCCGATGCCAGGGACCGGGGAAGCGGGGACCCGTTTGAGCAGGGGGAGGCAAGAGCCACCGACGCGTTCCCAGAGCCCCGGGCGGCCAGCGGCTTTCTCCTTACCTGCCCTCAGCTGCCGGGGCCGCTCACCATCTACCTCACGCCCTCACACAGACCCTCTGGGCGGCCAACCTGCAAAACGGAGCGGCACAGGAATTACCCGCGGGGCCGGGCGGTGGGTCAGGGACCCGCCGGATTTCTTTCTTTCCCCAACTTCCCTCCTCCCTTTCTCTTTCTTTCCAGTGGCTTTGTGCGTGTCCCTCCAGGTTTCACTTTATTGCACAGACACTTTGTTTGCAAAGCCCCACACGCTCCCGACACAGTGCCTCGCCCGGGACCTCACCGAGGGGGCCGCAAGGAGAAGGTGGGGGTGAGAGGGGCAGAGCTGGGAGGTGGCTCGAGGTGGCACTCCGTGCAGCGTGGAGGCGGTGGGGGCTGGGGAAGTCCTGCAGAGGCACTTTGCAAACTAAATAAATCAAGCGAGTTACCTTGTCGGAGTGGCTTGTCTCGCCGGGTTGTTTAGGTGATTGGAAATGTAGCCTGATGAAGATTGATCACCTTTCTACTGCCCTCCCCGGGTATGTGAACGCGAGGTGAGTGCGTAACGGGGCTAGGCTGCCAATCCCCGGCCCCGCGCGGGCTGAGTGACAGGGAGTCGGGCAATGGCAGCACGAGCCGGGGGTTACCTCCGCGCTCCCCCGCCCTCCCCCCCGCGCCTCGCCTCCTCCGCCCCGCGCCCTGCGGTGCTGCAGCTGCGGGCGGCTCCAGCTGCCCCAGATGTGGGCTGACGCCCCGCCCCGGTCGCGCGCTAACTCCGGGGCTAGACTGGCAAACGCAGCGCAGAGCAAGACAGGCAAGGCGAGCGCCGCGCGGGAGCCCGGGCCGCGGAGGGGAACGCTGGCCTCGAGGCCGCCCCGGGGCTCCCCGCCCTTCTCTCGCCCTTTTGGCGCCCTGGAGGGAGTGGCAGAGAGGAGGCGAGGTGCTGGAGAACCGGTTCCCTCGCTCTCTGGCACGCCACCCGATGTGCGCGAGGAGCCGGGAGCTGCTGGCTGGAGGGGAACGGGCCTCCGGCCCCTCTCCCGACGCCGCGGGCCCCAGAGTTTTCACGCACCGCGCCACCACCCGCAGACGCACGCGGCGGGCGGCTCTTGCTGGTCTGGGCTACTTTGCTGAGCGCGGGAGCAGCCCCGAGTGCGCAGATCCCGCCTCCGCGCCTCAGGACTCCGGTGCCCGTCAGCTGCACCCGCAGGGGAGGCACGGCCACTTACCTGCTCTTCAACGTCTCCTGCGGTTCCCAGTCCCCACAATAGGTGTTTGCAAATCCTGAAAGCTTCTTTTGAAATGTCGGCTCCCAGCGTCCCCTCCCCTTTACACATACACTGTACTTCTGAATCGAAAGGTTTGGATAGAAAACTTTGTCTTTCACACTGGCTCCTTTTACTAGGGACAGTCTGGTGGAAAACGTGGCCATAGACCCTGCCCTCAATTTCCTTCCCTCATGCCGCCGGAGCCTCCTTGAGCGATTTCCCCGGATAGTTCGTACTGGCGAAGCCCATTTTCCAGTCGAACAAACTTCTCAAAACACGTCTACCTGGGTGGACTTTTCAAAGCGGAAAAAAGTGTGCGCCCCAACACTGAGTAAGGCAATTCTTTTAAATGGCACCTCCTCCTGAATATTAGGCACGACTTTACTTACCCCCTTTCGAGGAATTCCTACCGCTTCTTCTTAATCTCCCCCCGCCCCCTCCCCTCCACCTCAACAGGCGGAGTGAAAAGTTTGAACCGGAGTAAGTGTGAGGGTGAGTCAGGGAGCCGCCGGGCGCTTCGCGGTGGGGAGCGCCGGCGCTGCGGGGCCGCGGGCCAGGGCGCCGAGAGCGCACCGGCGCGGGGCGAGGAGGTGGCGGAGGAGGAAGGGGGAGCCCGCAGAGTGAAAAGGGGCCGCGGCCGCCGCTCATCAAAGTGCTTCCCCTCCCCCAAGCGACACTTTCCTTTGGAGTCCGAATAAAATACGGTAACAGAATATGATGGAGGGCACACTGTTTCCTTAACTGCTTCTCAAAGAACCCGGGAGATCTTCTTAGGACCTTTAATAAGGCTTTGGTCGGTTCTTTTGTTGATCTCTCAAAATCAACTCCTTCTAATTGAAGTTGGAGCTGAAAGCGAGCTAATGTTCAAAGAAAGTGGCCGCCAGACTAACGAAATTACATTTTTTTTTTTTTTTGACGATGAGGGAACATCTAATCAAAGGGGCAAAAGAGGAGGGGTGTGTGGGGGAGTATGAAGGAGAAAAGGTTTTACAAGATCCTTCTCTGGTTCACAAAAGTCAGCGACACGGGCGCTTCTCTCCAGAACAAAGACACCGCGGCCCATTCACAAAAGCAAGAGAAAGAGAGAGCGAAAACAATAAAAGAACGAGAGAAAAGGAAAAACACGAACAAGATAAAGCCTTAACAGGAAAAGAAACTGCGCAGAGCGCAGCGCTGACTCGAGCGGGGACACACCTTAGGCTCGCGCAGGCCCCTGCGGGGGAATAGTTGCGAGGCCCTGGGCTCCGAGCCCCCGAAATACGCAGATTTAAAGAAAGAAACGAAATGTAGCCCCCGCCTTCGGTTCTGGGGAAAAACGCTGGCTGAAGCGCACTAGTTTGCCGGGGAGAGTTGGCCGGCGCGCTGGGCACACTCCCCTGAGCTTCTGCGGCTCCGCGCCTCTATCCCGGCGCTATCCCGGCCGGGGCCTGCGCGCTGTTTGCCTGGGTTAGCCCTCTCAGGCCTCGGTGCGTGCCGGGTCTCCCAAACCCTCGTCCTCCCTCCTCCTCCCGCCTCCTCCAGGCCTCTCTTCGCTTGCAGCGGCGGAGCTGGGCCGAGGTCCGGCAAGGTGGGGCGGCTGTGCGCTCTGGAATGTGCTCTGGCGGTCCCCAGGGCCCTCCACGCGGGAGCCAGGCTCTCTCGGTTCCAGATGCGGCCGCGGTCTCGGGGAAGTTGGGAGGTATCAAGTAGCACAATTTTTTGTCCCCTAATGAGAGTATTTATCTAATCCCAAATTGCAGGCGTATTTTCTTAATGCTCAACCCGTAAAACCCCGGGATTAAGAGAAGAAAAAGAGAGCGAGGAGAGGGGAGAGGGAGGAGAGTGAAGAGGGGGAGATTGAGATGAAAGTTTCTTGTCTGCGGCGGAAAGGACTCAGGCAGCACGTCGCTAGGCAAATATCCAGGTGGGAGACCCTGGGCTTGAAGCCTCGACCGTTCCAGCAACGGCCGCAGCTCGGGGAGGGGAAGAGGGGGCCCTTGCCTGGGGAGAGCCGGTGGACTCAGCTCGAGGCCCCGGGGCCGAGGAGGGGGCGTGGGAGCTGGGCCCTGGCTTGAGCATCCAGGTGACCTCGAGGCTGGGCTAGACTCTGGAGGACACTTGGGACGGGGGAGGGGTTTGGCTCCGGGGCCGTGGGATCCCGGCCAGGGGCGGAAGTTCTGCACCGGCCCGCGGGGCTGTGCCCAAGCCAGCCCGCTGCCAGCACTCCTCCTCCACCTCGGCGATCCCGGGGCCCACAGCTTCTTTTGCAGCCGCGCGGGCTTTCGGGTCCACGGCCTCTGGACGTGCTGGGCTCGCGCCTGCGCCCGGGAGGCAAGACTTTGGGCACCACGCGACGACATCCGGACGCGGCGCCTTCGTCGCGGGCCCGGCCGCGCCGCTCCCCGGGGGCCGCTGCGGGGCGTGCGGTCGCCACAAAGCAGCCCGAAAGGAAACCCCGCGAGGCTCGGGGCTGAGGCAGGAGGGGCAGGGAGAGGGGCAGCAAGTCTGGGGCTAGCGAAGGTTTGTCCCTTGGCAGGTCTGGAGCGGTTTAGGAGAGCCCCCTCTCGGCGAGGCTCCGCGGGAGGGAAGGTTCCCGGAATTCGAATTCTGTGTAAATGGAGTGGGTGACGCCGGTTGCCCAAGTCCCAGGCTGCTCCGGGCTGGAGGCTTCCGTCTGCCGGTTTCCCTAGGGTTAGAGCCGGGCCCTGAGAGCTTCTTCCCTCAGGGAGCGTAGCTTTCTCTTTTTCTCCTGCTCAAATGAAGAGGGCAAATCCCGATTTCATTTAGTGCTGGTAACTTTTCAGTAACTTCCTTAAATTCTTGTCATGAAATTTTACTTTAGCGTGGTTTTTGCCATTTTGAAAGACTGGCGGCTGCATACTTTTTGAAAGGAATTTGTGTGTATTGGTATAAATATTTGTATGTATATGTACGCATTATGATCGAGGCTAACTATAAATGCTAGTGGACTGTTTTCTCTGCCTCCAGACTTGTTGAACGAGCTTTGTTTCAGTCACCTTGGTAGACTGATGGAAACTACCATAAAATCGCCAGGTTTTTTTCTGTAGCTTAGAACTTCTTAAAAGTTCCCTTTCCCTCATCTCATACACACAAACCTGCATACACCCTCTTTCTCCCCCCACCCCCCCCCCAACAATAACCCCTCTTCCTTTCACTGCAGCACCTACAGTCTGGAGGGTTATCAGAAGTCATAGTTATTCCTCATATGAGTGCAAAATTATAACTATGGCAAATTAGAACATATTAGCTTTTTTCCCTGCCCAGTGCTGTGTACTCACAAATTTCCTCAAATCTTTAACAGAGATGACCCTTTAATACACGGTTGTTTACACAGCTTAAGAAAATATGACCAATTGCTTTTCAATTCACATTGGTGTGTCAGCAGGGCCCCTTTGGGGTGTAAACTTATTCAGATCCAAATACAGCCCAGTATCCTGCCCTGCATTCAAGAGGACCTTTTTTTTTTTTTCCCACATGAAAAGTCTTATGAATACAAAAACTTCTCTCAAACCAGTGTCAAGTTTTCATTACAAAGAAGTAGCAGCAGTGTTTAAGGTAAGAAAGTTTCTGCTTTTATTGAAAATTTATATATGACTCAGTATTGTAATAAATAAACAGATAACCATTTTCACACAAAAAAATGACAGTGCTATGCTAGAGAAGAAAATATTAATTGGAGGATTTACTCAATAATGGCGACAGATTTTATCAATACAGAATAAATAATAACAGCATTCTTGAGCCAATTTTGAGACCCAACAAAATGTGGGAACCAAGCTAGATGTAATAAATAATTATCCAGAGAAAAAGATGGTGCATTCTCAGATGATAAGACTGTCTTTGTAAACTGATGCATGTCAACTAGTCCCATTCTTACAGCTCACCTTCAAATCACAGGACTTGTCTCAGGCTATGTTAAAAGGCCACCCTCTGAAGAAAGCAGAGAAGTACTCTATTATCTTTACAATGAAATGTAAAACAACTGCAGAAAATCCCACTGGTAAACAGAACACAGTTTAATAAGTAAATTGAATATGATCTAACTATAAAATTTAGGTAACAGACTCAGTGTTACATATGGCAGGACTGGAAAAAAATCATCCATGACATTTTCTTTATCCCTCCCTCTTAAGCCCCCTCCCACCCCTCATTATGCTATTAACGACAACATCAACAACAACAACAAAAATGTTTTAAAATTTTCCTCCATCAAAAAATGAGGGAAAATAATGAGGGAAGAGTTTTCTTTCTTTGAACAGTTTCTTGAACACTCCCAATACCAATCACTCACAAGATGTCTGTGCAAATCTACTTCACATGATTTCAAGGAAATGATTAATTCACACCAAAAAACCCTTAAACAAAGCTATTTCAGAGTTCTGTACAAAATCTGGAAAGGAGGGAGGAAAAGGGGTGGTGGTGGTAAAGAAGTACAATCCAGTCAAACAAAATGTTAAAAGTTTTAAATCAACGAGAATGACTTTTTTTTTATGGTCTGGGGAACCCAAGGCTAATAAAATGTTGGTCTGGTCCGGTTTCTACTGAAGGACACATTTCTCTTCTTTCTTGGCCATCTTGCCTTTGTTTTGCTCCAGAGTTCGCTCCAAATGTTCATCTTCTTCTTCAGCCCTGGAAATCAAACAGGAAACCAAATTATTTTTCTTCGTCGAGGACAGAGCGGCACTCCCCTCTCGCTCCTAATTCCAAGCCCCAGAGGGAACCGGGACTGCAGGGCCAGGGGGAGACTGCCCCGGTCCACTGGAGACCTCTGGATAGAACTCCCCGACCCCACCACCCACTTACTGCTTCTCCTGCGCGTCCAAGTCCCTGACGAGCGCGTCGCGCTTGTCCACTAGGGCCACCAGTTCATCCAGCAGGAGTTGCTCGCGTCGCTTCTGGGCCTCGGTCTTCTGCCAGTCTGCAGAGGACAGGAGGCTCCTTACCCACCTTACCCTCCCCTTCCCGCCTTTTCCAGTTCCCTTTTATTTCTGTGCAAAACATCACAGATCCACTAGCTAGTAGTGTTTCACGGGGCGTTTGGCCGTCGTGGTGAGGATTTCACCCCTAAAACCGTACTTTGTAAGTATTTTCCGTAGATAAGAGACAGCTAGGGCCAGGTTGAAGCCTTCACGAAACCAGGTGTGTGCCGGTGGTCAGCCGGAGGCGCGCACCTGATTTCAGCCCAAGTGGGGGAGGGAGAGTTGGAGGCCCAGAAGAGGTCAGCCGGAGGGTTGGTGGTGGGGGATGTGGGTAAATGAGGAGGCGGGAAGCAGAGATGGGCGATAAAATCCTCCTGAAAAGGCTAGAGAATCTGCCTGAGAACCTATCCTCCTCCCCCACCCCCATGCTCACTCCATACAGCCCATTCTTCGCTAATTTCCTCTCCGCTCTATTTTAGCAGTTGGATGTATCTCACACTGGGCGCCATATGCTTCACAATAACTTTAAAAGTAGTGAATCGGCTAATTAGCATTTTTCTTTGAAGTAAAAAATAAATTTGCTCTGCAATATTACACTGCAGCTCTCGATCGCATCACAGCCAGTTTTCTTTTGGAGAGGTTTGCTGCGTGGTTTCAAATCAAAGCACTTTTGCAAAGGAAAAATTACATACTTCTTTTTGAAACCCCATGTTAAGGTTGGAAAATCCGACAGGCCGTGTTCTTTCCATGTGTAGGGGCAGTTTTTTGAAGATTTTAGGCCCCAATCATATATTTCCTAATCTTTGCTGGTCTGATAATTTCCTTAAGATGAGCAGCAGTTTCGTTTAATAAAAACAGGACCAAATCGAACATTTAAAGCACTTTTGAAACCAAAGCCAACTGCTCTCTGGCCAGACTGCAAGGGCTTGTAGCTGTCAATCAACCCCCAGTCTACCCCGCCTCCCTCATTAGGAAGGTAAACAATGAAAAGAAGAAGTAGATGATGAGGCAGATAGCCGAACAAATGAGGACCTAAAGGGAAAGAGGACACCAGCTTGGGAGAAAAAAAATACCCTGGCCGCTGACTCCTGTAGCTCCCTCCCCCAGCAAACGCACTTTCCAAAAAACAGAGGAGTGCAATCCTTTCTGGTTTCTCTCTTCTCTCTCCATTGCCCTGGGCAATCATGTTAAAACTCACATGGCTGGTGCTTATTCAGATAAACCTAACAATGCACACCGCTGGTTACCATGTGAATCTTCACAAACCGCACAAGAATGTGCTGGTTCAAATCCCCCCGACCCCCTCCAAAGCAAAATTTATTCAAGACAGCAAACTGCTCAGCAGCTTTATGAAAGCAAATGGAGCTAGAGGGAATTCTATCTCGTATTTACAAATTAAAAATTAGATGCATCATCGTGCAATAAAGGATAGAAGAGCAGCAAAAAACTAGAATATTCTATTTTATCACTATTTCTATCACTATAAGCTCAAATACGTACACACATATATATTAAACATGCTATATATTAATTATCCTCATTTGATACAAAACATCACACAAATAGGTACATTAAATAATTGGTCACATTACATTCTTATTTTAAAAAGTGTTCAATTGCATAGAGAGAAATAAACTATATCTATGGAAAGCTTTTTTCTGAATGTAAGAATTTAAAAAATAATAACAAAACACCAAAACTGAAGAAAAGCCATATCTATCACAATTTTATTCCTTAGATTTAAATGCAACTGAGGTCAGGAATGCCGGACAATTTTCTAATCTGGTTACAGCAGATAAATTAATAGACTCTCCAGGTTGGAAAGATCTTAAAGGTCATCTGGTCTGATTTCAGGTAACTATAGTTCTAGAAGTATTAACTCTGAGAAAAACCTGCTAAATTTGTAAAAGATTTGTAACTAAATTTTATAATTATTAAGATTACCAACTTTGATAAATAATTTTTCCATTTCTGACCTCAAGAAATCATTCTGATTATAAGTTTAATTTATAATTCTTTACTTCCAAAACATTTTGATGAGCTTTAATACTGGGAAATAAAATTTCTCCACCATAAACTCAAGACATATAATTAAGTTGAAAATTACAAAATTTTTTAAACTAAGAAAATAATTTTAATGACATAATCTTAATTAATTAAATTATTCCTTCTCTATACTTGGCCAGCCACTTTTAAGGTTTTAATTAATAATTAGAAATATCAAGATTTCTTTATTTTTTTTTAAATAAGGTTTTAACAATATGAGAGAAAATTTTATATTTTTAGTCCCTTAAGTATTGAATAGTTTTAAAAATCTTAATTTTCTCCTAGCTCAATAATGACATTTCCCATAACTGTAACAAAAACATTTTTTAAGTTATGAATATTTAGGTAATTTTCATCATCTTACAAATTTAACTGACATTAAATTTTAAATATTTCAGCATACATTTATAAGATTTTTCATATTAAATCTGTCATTACCACATTAGTATCTGTTTACAAATAATTAGTCAAATTGTGGGGAAAAAAAGCTATGTGCAGTGAGTAGATTTTACACCAGCAAAACTACTTTTACTTTGGGTTTGTTTTCTCACAGGACTAAATTGATACACAATGGTAATTTGGGAAGTTAAATTTTGATGAATTAAAAAATTTAATAACATCTTTCAAACTAATCAAGATTCACATTTGTATGTTCAAGGCCTAAATTAAAAAAAAAAAAAATTAAATCCCCCTTTAAAATAGTTTCACCTAGACATAATGTCGTGTTTTTAAAGCCTGAATGTAAGTTTATGTGTTACCTGTTATACATTTTAAGAAAGGATTACTCACCTATAACAGCTAGCCAGATGCACTGACTTTGGCTTGGACAGACTACAATGTGGGTTCTGATTAATTTAAAGATTCCAGTGTACTTTTGCTACAAAAGCCATATCCTCTCACAACAAATAGGATTAAGTTTTGATGCTGCATTTGAGCCAAAGTGTTGAAATAAAGAGATTCTGTTTATGTCTATCTGCACTGAGCTGTTTCGTTAATTCAAAAAACTCTTTTTTTATATATAGGGCCAATTATTCATTCCCCGATTCAGTTTATTTGCTGAAGTTGGTAATTACCTTGGAAAAAAGGCAAAGAAATACCTATAAACACTTTAATAGAAAGGACCTAAAGTTCTTGTAGTAAACCTTCAACCTTGCCACTATAAATAAGCCTGGCACTTTGATGAAAATTAACACTAGTTTTGTAAAGAGCACATTGGGGGATTGCAGTCAAGTCTTATCTTTAGTTCCAGTCAACTAGCAATCCTGAAAGAGTTTGCATCATCATCAGAGCAGGCCATTTGATAGGATTCTACCGCTGTACCTAATCAATCTATGGAAGACTGTGGCTGTGCTGTGTAACAAAGCTAAAATAGATTTACAAATGGGGTTTTAGGGGATAAGCTCCTCCACAGGATTACATATTGATTTTAAATATAAAAAGCTTATCATATAAGCCATAACTACAAAAATAGTGAACCTATGCATAAATCCCTTTAGAAGAGCACCCACTTCAAACTCTAAGCCAAGAATAAATCAAGATGTACAAAATCCTAGAGAAGATCCATTTCTTGTGCAGAAAATGAACACACCACTTTCCAAAAGCCCACCCCAATGTGTGCAGAAATGAATTTATCTTTCCTGAGGGGGCATTAAATAATCTGGAACAAAAAAACTATAGGAAAGTATCTGAAAGATGTTTGTTAGCTTAAAGGATCCTGCAACTTAGCTCAGTAGAGTGAAACTCCTGCAATGAAAACACCTCAGGGGAAAAGAAAAAGGTAAAAAAAGGCCAAAGTGATTATGGATTCTTTGGATTATCCAAAGAATGGATATATTGAATGTTATTATTATTATTATTTTGCTCTCAAACCAAGCTGTTAATATTTCTTTCATTGTGCTATGGCTATTAATATTCTGTGCTTTCTCCTGGTGAATGGTTTCACTAGCAGATTTATTTGAAAATATTTTAGTTTATTTATTATGAAAAACATCTCATGGCTACTAAGAAGAGATGGGAAAGAAAAGAGAAAGGAACTTTAAAACAAAGGAAAGCAAAACAAAACCAATCAGTGTTGCCTGTTCATGTGTTTTTCTGCGGTGATTTAATGCTCCGAAAGACTACTGAATTGCATGTGTATCCATTCTAAGGGCTGGCTCAGAGGACACCGTCTTCAAAGAACTGATCATCATGATGACCAGTATTTCTTTAGGACAGCCCACGCCACATATTGCCCAGGCTAGTGGGGCAGGCCTTTCTCTGAGAAAGTGTCTTTATTTGTAATCAACAGGCTGTTTCTTTCCTCAAGCCTCTTTTTCCTGTCAACCAACAACAGAAACTGGCTGAGAGATTTAAGGCACAATCAGATATGGGACAATAGCATTAATTAAAAAATAAACCAAATCCTAAAAAAAGTAACAATTGCATTAAAGGTGTCTGAAAAGAAAAACATTCTTTTTTCCCCTCTTCTTCAAAAATACTTTCTACTGTTCTTTCATGTGTATAAGAGGGTCAGGCAGAAAAATTTTAGATTATTTAATTAAGACTGAAGGTCTACTACATAGGGATAGGTTGCCAATGAAACTGGGATGTTTTGTACATATCATGGTCCTCCTTAAAGATGGTACTATGTGGTAATAATAGTGGTTTTGGATTAGAAGCAGGATCTGCCTTAAAAGTCAACTGTATTGTATCAAGCTGCATCTTAGGGATGATTTAACTTACTATACATGAGAGAGTAAATTGCAAAAAATTGTAATATTCTGTATTGAGCATAATGAATCTATAAAGAATAAACTATAAGAGTTATACATACATTATACATACTATATACACATATATATTATATTATACATATAAATATATATAAATAGAATTTGCTATACCTACTTTTCAAATGACTGTTAAGCTTTCCAATCTCTTTTAAAGACTATACAATGAAAACAAAAATTGTATCAAGAGGAAAAATACCATTTAGTATATTTGTGCATTTTATTTCAATGGCAAGTTTCATGGAACTTCTTAAATAATTTTGACAAATTTTATAGTCATTAGTGGTATAATTTGACAGCCACTTGAAGAAAATTAGTTATCTGAAGCCTTTTAAATAAAGTAAATCTAATTTCTAAATTAGGATATACAAATGTCATAGTAAAAATAAAGCTTCTATAAATGTAGAAGATAGTATTTGGATAAACAGCATGTGTTTTATTTAATAACAATATTAATTAAACTATTTAAAGAATATGGTTTCATTTGACTTTCTCGTATAAACTTAAATTTCTAGTTTCTGAACTAATTATAATTGACTTCTTATACATCAGGTACCTTATCAGGTGAAGAAAGAAATTACCATGGACAGTCAGTAGGTTAAGAGGTCAATATAGAATAGGAAAATCAATTTGCATTGATTAGACAAAAGGTCCATTTTACAGAGCCCAAAGGATTAGCTCTTAAGCAGACATCTTTGAACTATAAGACATTTTCAACTAAAAGGTATAAGGAGAACAGCATTCTAAAATACCAAAGAATTAAAAAAATAACCATATATAATAAATGCCATACTTAAGCCAGCTGATGTTTATCGATATTGTGAACCATACTTAGGATTACTATATATGTTATTCATTTGAAAGTTCATATAATGTGTGAAAGTGTTGAATTTATCTCATATGCCTGCCTGAATCTTTGCTTGACTATTTACTTAATAAGAGTTGGGATCTTAAGAACTATAGAAGACTGGACAGTGACATATTTATATGGACATCAATTAAATATTAAGGTAAAATTTAGAGTCTGAATGTGAAAAATCAAAATGATGAATCTTTCTCAAACCTCTGCAGTGGAAGCAACTTTAACTTGCACATAAAACGAAATCATTTAACTACTTACATTTTCTATTTAATGGACTTTTAAGCTTACAATTTTATGTTTAGAAGTAAACAAAATGATGATCTGAATTAGGGTCCTAAGGTTTTACATGACTATTGGATTCTGAATCTAAGACATTTATTTGGAACTCCTGTAGGTCCCCAGTCAGACCACACCTAGTGAGACTGCAGTGTATTACACTCTTTAAATCTCTCTGACAACTGACCCTTTACACACCTCACTGGGCCATGGCGTCTCTTACCTTCAATGGCTAGCATTGCCCGCAATTCCCGATTCAGCAGCTCATACCTTCGTTCTAAATCGTGTTCTTTCTCCCTAGGCAAGTTGCAAAAGTTCATCAATATGCTAATTACTAAATCATTAAACACTTAAAAAAACCTTTAGGTTACATTGATTTTAGGACTCATAACTGACTTTTCTCTTTAACTTTAAGCTACTCAAAACAAATGATACACAAACCTAAAACCTTCCTCAGGTTGAATACTTACTAATGGTATTATTTTTCTCCTTCAATTTTGAGTTGCACAAAAGTATATTTTAATCTGTGGATAAATAATCTCATTCTTCAATGCTTCTTGTCTTAAGTGCCAGGTATAAAGTTATTTCATAAAATTACTTTTCATAACTGTCAATAAACACCTTTTTGTCTAGAACTCCATGTGAAAAGAGTACAAGAAACATGAAAGTACTAGCAGTGCAAATTTAATATAGAGACAATAAAAAAATCAGGACTAATTAAGTTCTGCACTTCGTAATTCTTCTATTACGTTAAAGCATTGCAGAAATGACAAAAATAGAGGTTTTCACTAAAATAAAATGTAAACCTGTTTCTTCCCACACTAGGTGGCATAATATAAGAATACTGTTAGTGAGAAAAAGGGATAAGCATTAAGTCCTATGTGAACTAAATGCTAAAGACTTGAGAATGCTTACATTTGGTTTAGTCTCCATTTTACTATAATTCTTGGAGTCATAAAAAGGTCACTTCTGTGTAAATTATTAGTCTTTTATCCCAAAATTTAGGGTAACATTATCTGTAGAATACAAAGGTACTTTTGTCCTTATTAAGAATTAATTTTTAACTGAAAATTAGATGTTAAATAAACTTCAGTTTTCTTTTTCTCTTTAATATAAACCAAACATCCTTTTTTGTGCACAAGTGATTTCTTAAACCCCAGAATTATTTACATGACTTGGCTTTTAGTATAATAAATACATTTTTTTCAGTATCTAATACTCTATTTTAAAATTATTACTCTTCAAATAAAAACTGGTTATGTAGTATTTTAAATTTTATTTTTATATAAAATATAATCTCTAGGAAAGAAAAAAATTAAGCCTAATAAATATGACATCCCAAGAAAGACAATGATAGAGCTAAGTCTAAGATTCCTCAATGTTGTAGCAAAAACAAGCAGTGATAAATACTTACAAGAGAGACAGCTGGTTCATTCTTCTTATTAAGGCATTTTTCTTATTAACTAACATAAACCACTCCTGCATCATAGCTTCTTCTTCTTCTGTGTTCCTTCCTATAATTTAAGAAGAGTTATTGTTTTTTCTATTTTATAAGCCAAATGATAGTTCAGCGCAAGTCTTGTTTTTTTTTTTTAACATGAAACATATTTTAGCTAACCCAATAGTACAAATTAAACTGTTTACCATAGTTTATATGTAAGATTAAGGTCTGAAAAAAGGAATCAATATTTAAAAATTCATTAACCAATCTCTAAAGGAGGTATTATTCAGCATGTATTTTTCAGTCCCCTGAACATATCTACAGATCATACTAATGTACATTTAAAAAAAAAAGTGTTCCAACTTTTAAATCCTTCCCAGAGGGTGACTTTATTATATTTCAGTGAGGAACTCATGAAGCTAACAGACATATGGTCATGATAAAAATAAATAAATTAATTAAAAAACACATTAAAAATCATTATGAGAATTACAAGACTAGCAGGAAGATCAGAGAAGTCAAGAGATTTTGTGAGAGCTTCCGCCTGTAATGACCTGCTTTTTTTCTTATTTTCCTCCCCGAAAGTAAACTAAAGATATATACATGCATATGCATTTCCAGAACTCATCATCCCTAATAGGGTAAACACTTGCAAATTGTTTTAAATATATTGTAAATGGCTAGGCTACAAAAATACTTACATCTCTCTGTGAAAAAAGAACATAGTAATCTTCAGTAAATGAGAAAACATTTGAGCAGAGAGATGATTTTAAATGTCAGGTTATAAATTTACTGATTACACATTTAAAATTCATTTTCCCTAATATCCATTCCATCATCTATACTACTCCTCCCCTCAAAAGGATTGTAATATATAGCGTATATTTGGTATTATCATATAGAAGCAGGCCACAATCATACTTGAGAAAAATATTAATACCCCACCTTCTTCCTTCAAACTGCCTTCAAATTGTATCGTCAAATTTATAATTCTTTGACTTTGTTTTCTTCTGAATTTCATCCATGATTGGTTTATTGTTTTGCTAGGCCATTATTTAATACTTCAGTCCAACTTCTAGATACATTCATAGGGTTAACTTAAATATCTAACAAAAAAATTAAATATCCCAGGCTAAGACTAAATATCCTAGTCAATTTCCTAGGTTTTATTCTTCTTCTTTAGATATTTTAACTTTCAAACACACTACCAGTCCATTAAAAAATATTCAAGCAATACACAGACATAATTGAGTTAAAAGTCAAGTCCTCTTTCACCAACCCCACCCTCTCTGATTTGCCTATCTACCTTCCTTCTCCAGAAGTACTATTACAATTTAGTATATCTTCTTCCAGACCCACATAGGTAGCTATGTCTAACACACACACAGGTATATACCATGTCTGGACACATACAGGTTTTTTCTCTTTAACATAAGGGCCCTTGATTTGTTGTTGCCATGCTGTTCAAAGATCTACTTCATTCTTGTAATAGTTGTATAAATTATGGATGTGACATAATTAACTATTTCCACATTAATAGAGATTTGAAGAAAGTTTTAGAATGAAAATAGAATATAAAGAGCTGATCTGTGTGCAAGATTAAACATGTATTTCAGAGCATCCCTGTAAATCCGATGTCTGTTTTTCATCATTAGGGAAAAGAGAGATATGTGCTTTCATTAAAGTCTGTTAAACTGTATGATATGATGCAGACCTGAGATAGATTCTTTTAGAGTATGAACAAAAGTCTTTACTGTTTTACAGCACTTTTAATCTCTCTTTTAGGGTAACTGGTTTTGTATTCACTTTGGACCATGTGATGTCTTGACACTGGTCATGTGATATAGGCTGCGATAGGCACAAATCCCTGGGTAGCAACAAAAGAAGAAAGAGTAAAAAGAAAAAGCTGAGAAAAAGCTTGCAATTTGGAAAAAGGCCAATTGTACCCTGGTGAAGGCCTTTTTGATCAGTGAAATGACACATGTGTGCAATATTAATAGGTGCCGGTTTTATGATATTTTGTTTTCTGATTAAAGACTTAATTTTTGTGTTCATAACCTCAGTGATTTCTAAAAATATACACATATTAAAACTTTGTTTTGAATTTAACTGTAATTCAGGCTTTCAGGCATTAATACTAGAAGCATCTAGCCTACTCTTAAATTAGCATTATTTTCTTCAATGGAAGACTGCTTCCTTGAGAACAACAATATTGATGTGGTACTACTGTGTTATTCTCAGTTTAGCTCATGCCTATGATTTCTAGATAAGAATAAAAGATGCACCTTCCCTAATTATTAGGAAATGAGGAGAGTCTCATGTTTAAAAAGGGAATAAGCCAAACAATAAGAAATATTTAAAGATATACTATTCAGTGCTACCTAGATTACATAAATTAACTGAAAAACATATTTGAGGTTAAATCATCACTAACACCTTATCTGAGATAGTACACAATGATGGAAATCTATACTTAGCCTAGTAATAAAAAAATTAAATTTTCTTCTAATACATCATTATACTATTGTTTTTAGGGATTTAAAAATTTTTAAATTTAAAAAGCTTTTAAAAGCCAGTAAGTTGAACCATTACAAATTAATCCTGACTTTAATAACTGGTTAAAGACCCCTTTAGCTTTATAAGTAACAAAAAATATTAAAGCCTGTGATCACAGTGAGCTTTTCTCATTTCTCCTCCAACCATTTGTTATTTAATCCAATACTAGTAATCCAATTTGTCCATCAGACTTTTAAAGGGCAGAATGCAACTTCCTCAGCTTAGACACTTTTCAAAGTACAATATATTTTTCAAATGAATGCTGGATGTTTCATTTTTCCCAACTGTTCCTAGCTCTAATGCATGAGGAAAAAAAAGAACAAGATGAACATTGTTCATACTGATTAAGTAAGAGCTCATTAAAGAGCTGTCAGTGCGGTACTTTGAATATGCATGAAGCATATAATCAGATCTAGTACCGTCACTAGAGGAGAATACGGTAAGTACAAAGGATTGATTTAATTACTTAGAGTGGGCTGTGGTGGTAAAGCAGTCTTGTTAGTGCAAAAAGAAAAAGAGGTTGTATTCTGGCACTGTTAGAAAAAAGGCAGTTTTAGCTTCTGCCACAATACATAATCTCAGAATAAAGCACTTTACATTGTAGCTTAAAATGAAGATTGTCATTATTTTATAAAATGGCCATAAATCATTTTATCTTGTTTAAACTCATCCAGTTAATTATCTTGCTTTCAAAATTATCTTTAATTTGTAATCACAACTACATTTTTATCACCTTAGAGTCAAAGCTGAAATTTAAACATTTTTTTCAGCTTCATGAACTGAAAAATTCAAGACCTATACTACTGAAGACCATTTTGAAACTAAAAAAATGACAAAATCCTACAGTTCAGTACACGGTTACTAAAATGTGAAAGCACGGCTGGGTTGTTAAACTATATTTTAAAGCAGAGTGCCTCATGTGTATTATAAATATACTATCAATAAAATATCACCTTAACATTTTAAAGTATTAACTAATTAATACAGTCTCTGGTAATTTTTTTCTTCTTTATTTCCTTAAAGAATTCTGGTTTTTATTCTGCCTCCTGGAATGTAACATCTTTCTAACATCACAATCTCTTATTGTCAGTTTTCTCTTTTTAATTATGATAGCCAGAGTATGATTTATAAAAATTACTAAATAATGAAGCATAATAATAATAGTAGGAAAAGTCACATGTAAATATGACTTCAAATAATTCTTCCTATCATATAGTTAACAAAACCTACTTAATACAAAGCAGAATAATACAACACTACATGTAGTACAAATACTTAATAAAATAAATGTTAGTTAACATCTGCCTTTATATTCTATCTCCTCCTTCCCAAAATGATTAAAAGATTTAATTCCACCTAAAAATTCATTCCTTCACCCAGGAATGTGTATATAGTTCTCATTTGCTTTTTCAAAAGCAGCATTTTCAATGTAAATTTTAAAATGAACAGAAGGAAAATGATCGTAAAACCTTAAAATTATGAATTATATTTTTAAAACTGTCTACTAGTTAACCTTTCCTAATTAATCTTTCACCATAAACTTATTATCCATTTAGAAAGATATGTTTTCGAACAATGAATTCTTATATAAATGCAAAACAAGGAACAACACAATTTTAACTGAACAGAAGATTAATTCAACAGGAGAAGATGAAAACACAAAGATGAAGGTGCTGTTGGACATACATACAAATTCAAGATTTTCTACCATGAAAACATTAAAGAATGCTGAAATCTTGCCATAGCTCCATAGTGGAGATGGCTGACTAGTGATCACATATGGCCCTTAAAGGACACAATGTAGCAAAGCCAAATCAACATTAAAAACAAAAAAGTTGCCATTACTAATTGTCCCTGTGTTATGATTACCTGAGTATGATGACCTCTGAAACATTTAATATATTACAATAGAGATACATATGAATGTGTCCAATTAACTGGTACCAGAGAAACACTTTAACAACAAAGGAGATAAAGTCTGTTAGATTTACTTCATGAATGAGAAAGATTAATTTACTGCAGTTATATAGGGACATGGACACAAGAGCTCCAAAGCCAATATTACTATAGGACTCCAGTGCCCTAGTTTAGAAAATATTTTAAACTTAGGAAATAGAGCTTTTTTATGAAAACAAATTTTACTATGTAAGCAAACAGTTGATAAATGTTTCTACACTAAGAATATCCTCAAACAGCAATCAACATAAATGAATAACCATGATCCTTACCAATGTCTTCAGCAGAAATTGTCTTAAAACAATTTGCTCAGCTTGGTATACTTGTTAGAGTATTAATAATATAAACTTTGGTGAAAATCCTGTCTCCTTTTGTTTAAGTAAAATAAAAACTAATACATTCTCTCAAACACATCTTTGATTTGCTCATTTGATAAAACAAAGTGTGAGGAGAGATTCAGGGCAATATCTCTCTACAGATAAATTTGACAGACTTCTATGCACATACCTATGCAGGAGGAGGTATAGACAAGTTCACCGAATCTCTTCCATCATAGACTTA